CCTAGGCAAGGGTTGGATTTCAAAACTCCACCCTTTCAAAAATACACATAGAGAGTTAAGCTGGAACATTTTAGGATGGATGGATGGATGGATGGATGGATGGATGGATGGATGGATGGGGTGGGGTGTGAAGAAAATAAAAACCCTATGTCCTCTTCTCTCCCCATATCTCTGAGTATGAAACGTTTTGTAAGAAAAAGTAGGAAGTAGCCTGGCTGGGTGTGGTTCAGCCGTTGAGCGCCGACCTAGGATCCAGGAGATCGAGGTTTGATTCCCGGTCAGGAGTTTCGGGCTTGATCCCCAGTCGGGGGTGTGCAGGAGGCAGCCGATCAATGCCTCTATCGTCATTGATATTTGTATCTCTCTCCCTCCCCTCCTCTCTCTGAAATCAATAAAGATATATATATATATATCTTTTAATTAAAAAAAAAAAAAGTAGAAAGCAAACAAACCAAGTCAACACCCTGTGATGGAACAGTGGGTGGTGCCTGAGTGTGAGGCACTTGAGACAGGATAGCTAGGAGGGGACTCTGCCAGGAGGTGGCCTGTACAACAGAAGGAAGGAGCTAGGCAATAACCGGGGAAGAGCATGCCTGGCAGCAGTCACAGCCCAGGCAAAGGCTTGGAAGCTAGAGCCAAGGCTTTGGAGAGATGGAAGGTGCTGAAGCAGAAGGTGTCAGTGGGGGACCAGGCCTGAGGGCTGCTGAGAGAACTTTGGCTTTTTCTTTTCCTGCAAGAGTATCTGAAACAAAGAAGGAAGGGCTGCCCTGCCTTCTTCCTTGGCCACCTCTAACCAGGGGATGCCTGTCTACTGCCCAGAACAAAGTTGGAGAGACAGGCTGGAGAAGAGAGTTGCTTGCCTTGCCCTCTGTTGAAGGAAAAAGACCAGATCTATCCCAGAGAGGGTGCAGGCATCACAGGCATGGGGGGGGGGAGTGAATGAGTGAGGGTCACCCACAGCTAACTAGGGGCAGCTGCTAGCTGCTGTTGTGTGCACATGGGTGCACAGCAGGAGCCCAGGTGAGGTGGTTGTCCCTGACCTCACACAAGGTCAGAGAGTGACCAATGCAGTCAGGACAATTACAAAAGGGGATGGAACCAGGCTGCTTTCAACTGGGTCAGAGATGCCAGATAGAATACAGGATGTCCAGTTAAATTTGAATTTCAGATATAGAAGAGATAATGTTTTTAGTATAAGTACATCCCAGATAGTGTAGGGTATACTTATACTAAAAAATCACTGATTTTTAAAAATCTGATATTCAAATTTTAGTGGGTGTCCTGTATTTTTACTTACTAAATCTGGCTACCCTTGAACAAGACGTCCTCCTGGAAGACCTGTCCTTGGAAGCAGAGGGGGACTTAGACCCTCCAGCCCTGGGGTGGGGCCAGGACTGAGCAAAGCAGGGATTTGGGGAGTGGAAGGTGGAAGGCGGGATTTCCAAGAAGGGGACCAGAAAACTGGGTCTTCAGGAGGCTGAGCTTTATTTTGAAAACAGGCAAAGGCTATTTCCCACGGGATCTGTCCTCAGCCCAGGCTAGGGAGGGCAGGGGGTGCAGGAGAGGAGAAATTCCACCTCCCAGGCTGTAGGAGTTTTGAAGCCAGCTGGCTATCTTCCTCCCTCATTCTGCACGTAGCTCTCAACCCCCATCTGTGTGGCCTTGTGAAGCCCAATAGCCCTAGGGCTGGGGCTCCTAGTTGGCTCTGAGGCTCCCAGGCTCTGAGAGTGTCTCCAGGAATGAAATTCTCACCCTACAGTCCCATTATCAGCAAGTTCTGGCTTCTCTGCTACATCCTTCTAGCCTTTTCCTTTTATTTATTTATATTTTTTTTATTGATTTCAGAGAGAGGAAGAGAGAGGGAGAGGGAAATAGAAACATCAATGATGAGAGTCATCGATCAGCTGCCTCCTGCATGCCCCTTGCTGGGAATCAAGTCTACAACCGGGGCATGTGCCCTGACCAGGAATCAAACCTTGATCTCTTGGATCCTAGGTCGATGCTCAACCACTGAGCCACGCTGGCCCAGCCCAGCCTTTTCCTTGAATGTCCACTGCAGCTGGGACTCCACCAGCTCTGCCCAGCCTCCTCCCAGGTTGCTGCCTCCCCCAGGCTGTTGTCACTTCTTCCCACAGCTTCTGCCTCCTCCTCATTCATTTTTATTTTTAATGTTTTTATTGATTTCAGAGAGAGGATGGAAGAGGGAGAGAGAAAGATAGAAACAACAATGATGAGAGAGAATCATTGATCGGCTGCCTTCTGCACGACCTCCATTAGGGATCCAGCCCGAAACCCGGGCATGTGCCCTGACTGGGAATCGAACCTCGATCTCCTGGATCCTAGATTGATGCTCAACTGCTGACCCACACCCTATTAGAGCCACACTGGGCTCTATTCACTCGTTGGTAAGCATTTGGGTTGTTCCACTTTTTGGCTACTGTGAATCCTGCTGCTGTGAACATTCATGTGCAAGTGTTGACCCTGAGAGAGAAAATACCTGGCAAGAAGGATTCCCTGTGGTTAAGTGAGCCCAAATTCATAACCAGAATCTAGCAGCCATTGTTTACAGAGTCCTCTCATGAAGGCTGCATAAAAGAGAAAAGGCACAGATTGACCTGCCAGCCTCCTGCACTATATTCCTGCCTGCTGAGTCACCCTTATAAGAGAGATTCTAGAATCAAAATTCAACTGATAGGACTGAGATTTTTTTCTGTCCAATCAGAGCTATGCAGCTATATACTCATTTGCATTTTTACTGACCTGAGTGGCTCCATTTCAACAAATCAGGATGCTGCTATTTAGACCAATCAAACTGTGAAGATTTGGAGTCTTCATTTGCAAAAAGGTGGACCAATCAGGAACCAGGGGGTGGGAACTTCTCTTTATATAAGTCAGCCTCCCGCCTGTTTTTGTGGAGGGCATTTTCGATTTGTCTTGCGGGCTGTGGATTCACTGGCTGGAGCTGTGACACCTGAACCACCTCCCTGAGCTGCTTAAGTCAAGACTCCCCTCTGCACCTCTTCGTTTCACCCCAAGTTGGGGGTTCCTGGTGGCGCTTAAGTGGGGGTGACTACCCTCAGACTTTCAGTTGACACAATGTCTGTGTGGGTGTGAGTTTTCAGTTCCCATGGTCATATACCTATGAGTGGAATTGCTGGGTCAGATAGTAGCTGTTTTTTAATCTTCATCTGAGGATATGTTTGATTTTAGAGAGAGGAAGGGAGAGAGAGAAAGAGAGACATCATCAATAGGTTGCCTCCGGTACTCTCCCAGTTGAACCCACAACCTGGGGTATGGTTGTGGGTCCTGATTGGAAATCAAACCCAAAACTTTTTTGGTGTATGGAATGACACTCCAACAACTGAGCCACCTGGCCAGGGTGATAACTGTGTTTAACTGTTGGGGTATTTTTCATAGTGGCTGTACCATTCCACATTCCCACCAGCAGTGCATGAGGGCTCTCGTTTCTTCACATTCTCCAACATGTGTTATTATCTGCCTTTTTTTTTTTTTTTTTAATCCTCACCGGAGGACATGTTTAGAGAGGAAGAGAAAGAGAGAGATAACCGATCTATGCATTCCCCAACTGGGAATCAAACCTGCAACCCAGGTATGTGCCCTGACTGGGAATTGACCCAGCAACCTTTCGGTGCATGGGCCAACGCTCAACCAACTGAGCCACTCATTATTTGCCTTTTTATTACAGTCATCCTAGTGGCTGTGAAGTAGTGTCTCACTGTGGTTTTGATTTGCATTTCCCTGATGGCTTATGATGTTGAGTCCTTTTCATGTTCTTATTCCACATACATGTCTTGTTCAGAAAAATGTGTATTCACATCCTTTGTCCATTTTTAATTAGGTTATTGTCCTTTTAAATTAAGTTGTAAGTGTTCATTACATATCCTAGATATAAGTTCCTTATCAGACACATGATTAACCAATATTTTCTCCCATTCTGTGGGTTGTCTTTTCACTTTATTGGTGTTCTTTGAAGCACAAAGTTTTTATTTTGGTGAAATCCAACTTATTTTTTCTTTTGTTGTGTGTGCTTTGGGTGTCATATATAAGAAACCATTGTCTAATCCGAGGTCACAAAGATTACATTACATTTTTGTTTGAAATTATTTTGTGATTTTAAAAAGTATTTGTTGAAAACCACTGGGACCTCAGGGTAGGTTTTCCAGACAAAATACAGGACTGCCAGTTATAGTTGAATTTCAAAATAGTGAATATCAGATAAGTAGTGAATACTTTCCTTACATTTCTATATCCAAATATTGTATGGGATAGTTAACTAATAAATTACTCATTTTCACCCGGCTGGTGTTGCTCAGTGGTTCAGTACTGACCCATGAACCAGAAGGTTGTGGTTGGATTCAGGTCAGGACGCAAGATGGGGGTGCAGGGTTGATCCCCAGTAGGGGGTATGCAGGAGGGAGCAGATCAGTGACTCTCATCATTGATGTTTCTACCTCTCCCTCTTCCTTCCTCTCTCTGAAATCAATAAAAACCTATTTTAAAAAATTTTTAAAGATTTAAAATAATAAATAACTTGTTTTCTACCTGAAATTCAAACTTAACTGCCCTCCAGGTGTTTTCACCAAATCTGGCAGCCCCAGCTTCATCCACGGGACTTATTCCAGTTGTTCACACGGATCCCTATGGATTTTTTTTTTTTTTTGTAGTGTGGTAAAATATACATGATATAGATTGAGCATTTTAACCACTTTCGAGTCACAGTTCAGTTCTCACTTAACACTTTCTGAATAAATGAAGGCCCCGCCCCGTTTCCTAGCAATGTAGCCACGCCCCCAGGCCGCAGGGCGTGCCTAGGTCACGTGGTGCCACCGTACATTCTTCGGTAGTGCCCGCCCGCCTGGGCCTGCGCGAGTATGTGCGCCTGCACGCGTGCGCAGGCGGCGGCCGGCCTGTCTTGCCCGCCCCTTCGTGTGCGTGCGCGCGGGGCCCGCCTTCCGGGTTCTTTTAGCGCCGCCGCCGGCGGTTGGTGACTCGGTCGGCGGCGACATGGCGACGGCACTGCTTGTGGTTCTGGGGCTCGCGCTGCTGGGCGTCGAGAGCGGCTCCGGGGCGGGTGAGAACCGGGTGGAGCGGGCGGGGAGCGCTGGCTAGCGCGGGCCGGGCCTCGGGCGTCCCTCCGGTGGCGGTGGAGGGAGGTATACCCGAGGAGCTCCGGGGCTGCAGTACCCGGGGTTAGGAGGCACCCAGGTGTTTGGGGGCACCCACGGGGGCTCCCCGCCGAGGTAGTGTGTGGGGAAACCTCGGCATGGGGTGGGGTCGGACGAGAGAGATGCTGGAGGTGAAGACCCAGATTTTCGACAGCTTAGGGGACCGACGGGGTACAGGAGTGGCCTGGCCCCTGGGGAGGGGATCTGGAGGCGCCCCCTCCCCCTGCAGGGACGGGTCTACCCGCCTGGGTCAGGCAACGTCCCCTTTGGACGGGAGACCAGGAGCCTGGGGAGGCAGCTTGAGGGTGGGCCCCCGGCTCGGGGTGTTCTAGGGCGAGGGGTGCGGCAGAGGGTCTCCTGGACTCCCGGAGCCCTTGGCTCTCATCTGGAAAACGGGCTGTTGTCCTCAAGTGGACGCTGGGAGCAAATGCACGTGAGTGTCCCTAAGGCGGGCAGCCCTGGAGTTGGCAGGGATTGTCATTCTTGCCGGGATTTAGGTCCCGAGTCTTGTTCTGGGTATGCACCTGCTCCTGGTATTCGCACAAACATTTAAGTTTAAACCCTTGTGGGGAAGCCAGCAGGCTCTGCTGCCTGTTTTTCTGATATCTCGGCACAGATGAGCCAGCGTCTAGTCCACCCACCCCCTTTTACAGGGGTGGAATTAGGCCTGGGAGGGGAGAGGGGATGTTCCAAGGTCACGGTGAGGTCGCCCTGGCCACCTAGTAGAGAACAGGAAGTGGAGAGAGTTTTTGTAGATTGTCAAACAGTATTAAATTTTAGAGCTCTTCTTGGGGATGGACAGATGTGGTTTAGAGAGTGCTCGTGAGAAATGGACTGAGGTAGTTTTCCAGGGGAAGGCCTGATGTTTTCTTCCCATATGGAGAATTCCCATTTGGTTCTGGGTTAAAGATTTATCGTCACCGGCATGTAGGGAACAAAGTACAGACTAGAATGGTCTGGAGCTCTTTTGGGGAGGCAGGACTTGTCAGACTCTAAGCAGCTTGTCAACTGTCCTGGGTAGGAGCCCAGAGGGACTGCCTCTTGTAGAGGCTTCTCTGGGTTATCCTGATCTACTTTATGATCTCAATTCGCTTCTTTTGTCTTCGTTATAACCAAAACAGCCATTTATTGAATGCCTCTGGGTAAGGGCCTGTCTTCCTGCCAGCACTCTCTGGAACGACTCATGAGCGTGTAGGCTAAGTGAATTTGTAAGATACACAGCTGATTTGGCAGCTTGAGCCCTTTAGAGATAGCCCTCGATGGCTGCAGCTGGCCAATGGGTGAAAGCGCCTGTGGTCTTTTTCTGTTGGGAGCACAATTCCTGAGTTTGTTCCTCTCTCCTTAGAGCAGAAGCACTGGGTGACTCCAGAGCCCCAGCCAGGAAGCCTAGAGAATCTGTGCACATTTGGGGCTGTTCTTGCACACTTACGTCATGTCTGACTCCCCAGGACTCCTGTCTATTTTGCTCTCTTTCATTTTTGACAGCTCCCCTCTTCCCAGGATCTCTTGGAAAGTTCTGAAAGTCTTTCAGAGGACATCACCACAGGTCCTTTTTCTGCCTAGGAGAAGTGACTTAGTGACAGTGTTTACCTCTCCTGTCCAGGTCAGCTCCCCAGAAATGCTTTGGGGGCTCTGCCAGGAACAGGGTCCTTGACTTGGGCTTCAGCAATCAGCACCCCGTCCCCTGAGGCCCTGGGTTGAGTCTCCTGCCAGGAGACCCTGGCTTTCCTTGAGATTGCCTAGAGACCTGTCGTCTTGACCAGGCATGTTGGTAAGGCACGGGCTTTCCAGCTGGGTCCCTTGTGCTGATGACTTGGCCTCTCTGGACCTCAGGTAACGGAAGCAGGAGCTGCTTCGTGATGGGATGAGGTGGAGGGGAGAAGGGAGGAGCCACCACTCCTGTCCCTGAAGCATTCTTGGTTCATATCTGAGCCCAGCAGTGCTGCCATGGGTGGGGAGAGGGCGGGTGCCTTGGGCCTCATTCTGCAAGTTCCTTGGCAGTTTACCATGAGGCCTGCCTGGCCCTGCGCCCCAGCCCAACTACTGAGTGGGCACGGAGGAGGGGTGGCTGTTTTTAGATGAAGGTGACTTTACTTGAGAATGTGGGTTATAGTCACAGGGCCAGAATCACAAAATGGAGTTTTCACTTTTCTCCCTTGTCTCATAGTGTTCTAAGGGTGGAGTCTCCTGACTCTTCTCCCTGTGAATTCTTGGGGTGCTGCCCCCAAGTCTCCTGGGCACTGGGTTTGGCCAGGGGTTGCCAGAGGATGTGCTTTTCAACCTTTCCCCAACATCACCTCCCCCCCAGGAGCCTTTTGAGATGTTTTTTCCTAATGGTCCTGTCCCAGTGACATTTTAATATCACAGATTTTAATATCACTTATAACAGCAGGTTTCTGTGTGTGGTGGCCCTGGGTAGGGCCACAATCATTGTAATGCCCAAGACTCCCCCCCACACACCACCACCCTAGGAGTGACATGGCCCTGTTGAGGATTCACAAGAGAGATGTAGCAGCATGGTGGCCAGCTCACAGGAGGCTCCTTGGTGGGATGGCTAGCAGGTAGCCCAGGGGGTCCTCAGTCCAGAGCAGGGGTGTCTGCCTGAGGGGCTTTAGGCTCCCTTTTGGGCCACCTCTTTTTCCTGCAGGGAGATAGGTACAGCTGGGACAAGATCTGACTGACCTCCTTTCCTGGGTGAGGGAATGAGCGCAGGTGGGGGTCCAAGGCTTTAGGGTAGAGAGAGGCAGGCCTGTCTGGGAATAGGGCTGCCTCGCCCTCACTTTCTGGGCCTGACTGCACCCAGCTTTGCACATAGTTTGTTGTTTTGCAATCTTGGGAAATTTTTATTCCTGAGAAGTGTGGATTACTGGGAGGCTTCCAGATCAGGCAGTGGAGCTTTTAGCTTCACACCCCTGTCTGCTTGTAACTGTGCCTGTCCTGAATCCTGTGAGTTGCCTTTGGGCCACCACAGTGGGGAGACATGAAGGTCCACTTTTTCCTGGGGCCTTGGGACCGCTTTGCCCCAGGACCTCCTGGCCAGCAGTGTATGCTCTTTCCACGCAGCAAGGGAGCTGTGATTGTGCACTCTGTGTGCATGCGTGCACACGTGCACATGCATATGTGTGCGGGTACACATCTAAGTATGTGCCTGCCCCTACCACCCACGCATGATCACATGTAGTGGTGCATGTATGTACACGCCCTGGGAGCAGATGAGTTCCCCAGCTCCAGAGGCCTTGCATTTCCTGTCTGGCTGTGGTTGAGCTTTTTGCTTCATCTCCTGCTTGCCTGGAATTCTGAGACATTGTGTCCTCTTTTAAACAAAGAGCCAGCAGGTGGCCAGTGGTGGGTCAGTGAGGACTGGTCTATTCAGGAAGGGGCCCTGCCTGGCTGTGCATGTGTCCTGTTCACGGGCAGGCCACCATCCTCCTAGACTAGAAACACAGCTGGGGAACTGGGTCTGCATGAGTCAAGTTCGCAGTGGGGGGTGCCACCAGCCCTCTGAGGACCTAAGTGCCAGGCCCCTGGCTATTGCCCTGGGACCCAGTGCAGGTGTGGGGCTGGGACCACACCCTCGGGGCATGCTGATCTCAGACTGCTTGAGGAGACAGGTGTATTCTGCCTGTGAATAATTCTAGATCCAGCTTTATCCAGTGATGTCTCTTGGATAAAGTTTTCCTGCTGACCTTTGGTATTTGTTTATTTGTTTTAAATATGTCTTTATTGATTTCAGAGAGAGGAAGGGAGAGAGAAACATCAATGATGAGAGAGTCATTGATCGGCTGCCTCCTGCATATCCCCCACTGGGAATCGAGCCCGAAACCCAGGCATGTGCCCTGCCAGGAATTTAACCACGATCTCCTGGATCATAGGTTGATGCTCAACTGCTGAGCCATGCCAGCCAGGCGCCCTTTGTGTTTTGAAGTTTAATTTCTTAATTACTAACCGGGTCTCTCTCTGGATGGGTGAGACCAAGCAAGCTTTGTCTATGTGGTGAGAACCTGGTGTGTCCAGGGGATGCAGGAGAATACCTTTCCTGTCATTTCCCTCTAGATTGGGGGTATTAGGTGTAAACCAGAAGTTTGCTGCCCATGGAATCAATTTATACTGGTGCTGAGTTCCAGGCAGCTAAGATACTGTCCAGGTGGGAGTCATTCCCTCTGATCATTCTGCCCAGTTTCTTTTTTTTTTTAAATTTATCTTTATTGTTGAAAGTATTACAGATGTCCCCTTTTTCCCCCATTGACCCCTTCTACCCCACACCCACCC